CGTTTGGAAAACAACCTCCCTAATTAGAAATCTATGTTGCACCCTGCCTATACTAAGAATCTAAAGGGATACAAAGGAGAAAGAAGGGAAATATCAGTATGGTGAGATGAATTGCTCGTATGCTTCTCTGTCACCTGCAACAAACTCAAATTCAAACGAATTTAGTAGATTTTACAAGTCACGATACGGGCATCATTCACGTCTTTTCTTCCAATAATTTCCTCAGTTTTTGGTAAAGCGAATCTGTAACAAACTCGTTTTTTGTTGGATTAATAAAGGCAAAAATGAAAGTTTAACAGCTGAAAGAAAAGACCTTATGCACATACACGTATAAAATATTAATAATTATTATTATTGGGGAATGGAGTACTGTTTCCATAAGGACACAGCTTACATCCGAAAGCCTCAGTAATAATAATTAAAAATGAAGGTTTAACAGATGAAAAAAAAAACATTGTGCACACATCGTACATATATTTTCACGTATTCGTTGAAATAAAAGTGATATTAAAAAAAGTGAAAGGTACTTTTCATTGTTAGCAATTACTTGGTACACGTTAATAACAAATTATTTCGAGAGATATTAGAATTTCACAAAGGAAGAATCTTTGTTAATTGAATTGAAAATTTCTATACCGAATATCAAGATGAAAGAAAAAGAGACTAAAATTGTTCCCAATTAGTTTAGAAGTTATTATTTTCACGGAAGAAAACGTGGAGAGATGTTCCAATTTACTCTTCATTAGGAATTTAAAACCGAAATAATCCCACAATTTACCGCAATTTTATCTATATTATCATTTTTTCAATTAACAACGAGTATGCGACGTCGTACCGGTAATTAAACATTTTACTATGAATATTACGAGTCAACTACTTTCTACGTAACAATGTTTCTTTGCAAGCTTTTTATGTCGCACACGGCATTTGAAAAATATAATCGCGTGTGTACTTTAATTAGTGCAAAGCTATTTCGAAAATTTATAAAAATTCACTACACTCTACCGTTGCATCAATCATTGTGCAAATTTGCAAATATTACGACAGATGAATCTTACACGTACCGAGAAAAGTAAACTAACTCTAATAACAATTAATTCTTATTTTTTTTTTTTCTTTAAATTCACCGAGCTTCTACTTGTATACTTTCATTCTACGTACAATATTGATTCTTCCTCTGACATATTCCGATTCAATTCGAGATTCTCAACGTCTCAAAGTCGTTGTTACGTCTTTAAAAATAAATCATCATTATCGATATCACTTAATATCGTAAATATTATTAAATATCTGTTATAGCAATTCAACGAATACAATTCAACAGTATTTTATGACAAACACTCGGTAGATTTCATAATCCACTCGTTCTAAACCCGAACAAAAACCGTGAGTGGGATAATTCATTCTTTTACGCAACACTGATCTGTTAAATGTATGAAATAAAAATAAGTCTCAGAATCAAACGCGGTGAGTGCTTCATTTTACTTGCAATCTGAATTTACGAGAAAAAAAAAGATAAAAAAAAGTTACCGTTAAACGCGAGAGCAGCCACGTTAGGGCGCTTTGGGCAATACGCGACACTAATCATCTATGCACTCTGTAATTTATAATACGCAACACTAATAACGGGGGGATCCATGGCAGTCGTATTCAGGGCTATTGCCCTGATCTCCTTTGGTGCAGCTCTTTCAGCGACTCCTGAAAAATTTGGGTATTTCGTCGCAACACTAATAAAAGACAAAACGCGTTTATTCGTTTACGCAACGCTATCGTTAAAATTACAGATGGAGTAAATCGACTCTGAATAAATAAAATGAATTTACTCTGAAAAAAAGGAAAAAAA